CATCCAAAAATCGTCACAATAATAGTTCGGTTCATTTCGTCCCATGGGACGTCTCATGCGTAGCTCTGTTACGGTTAATATGCAATTGTTTTGTTCTCTTTTCTTTGTTCTGTATATGTTACTTACGAGCAATCGCTTTCATTCTTGTCGTTCTGTATGTTTTGGATTATTTTCTAGTAAATTTCTTTTTTTCTTTTTTTGATTCTTTTCTGTCTCTCTCTTCATATAATATTGGTATTTTCCAGGTGCTTTTTGTCTTTTTCATCGTATATTAAATAACGCATTATTTTACAAAAGCTCAGATATATCGTTGTTGTTCTTTTATGCAGGAAAGCTTGGTGACTTTTGTTGTAAGTAAAATATGATTATTTATAACAGCATTCTATAAACCTGTTACAGGCATGTTGTTCACATACCTTCATATCGCTTTAGCTGCTAGCAGGGTTGCCAGATTGTCCGAATTAGTCTGAATTTTCAGACTTTTCTAAGTTTTTTCGACTGCGTTCCGACTGTCCGAATTTATCCGAATTCTTGGATTTTTTCCGAATCGTAGTATTTTTTTAAAATTTCCTGTCCATTACAATTTTCCATATATATTTTGATAGATTTCATATGGCGCCATCTTTATTTTCTTATAATCATTGGGTAATTGATTGTATTATTAGAAATAAGAAGAGAAGGGAGAGAAGAGAAGATTGTGGGCACCGTTTAAGGGAAAATATAAGCACCATTATAGAGGCACACATGTTTAATCTGATTGGTTACATGACTTGGAACACATCGTATTGTATTATATTACTTATTAAAATATGTCAATAATTGAAAAAAATAATTTAGTACAGAATTTTTTTATAAATTTAAATAGATGCAGATTGTCATCGAGATATTCCATTTTACCAAAATTTCGGATTATATTATGAGACAAGTCGACTTACCCTATAGGATCAGTCAATATTTTCAATTGAGACATTGATACTGGTTCACTTATTATTTTCACTTATGCTATAGGGTAAGTCGACTTGTCTCATAGGAAAAGTCGCTTCTTTGAACTGAAGCATTTTTACTCGGTTAGGTATTATTTCGACTTATCCTATGAGATAACTCGACTTGTCCTATGAGATAAGTCGCATCGTAGGTTTTGGCAAGTTATTAATATTTCGAGTAATCTCATGAGACAAGTCGACTTATCTCATAGCATGACTTGAATTCGGCACTAAACAAATATCTCAATCAAAATACAGGAGTAAATTGGTAGCATAAGTTGAACATTTAAATGTGATCTTAAAAATCTCAAAAATGAATATATTATGATAAAAATAGAAGTAATAATACATAATTTTATTTTTCAAAAGTCCATATATTCTATTTATGGCTAGATTTTTGTGCTAAATCGGTCGCCATTAAATGATTCCATGTGCCCCTAGAATGGTGCTTATATTTTCCCTTAAACGGTACCCACAGAAGATTTAATATAATCTTTTTTTTCAAATCTCATCTCGTCTAAGATTTATTAGAATAGCTTCAATCAATATTTAGTCAAATGAATCATCTATGGTCTAATTATCGCAATCGAATGGATATAGAATTAGTTGAAGCTCAACTACAAATCCGAATGAATTCTGATATTCATTGTTCACGTTTTTATGACTTTCTTTTAACTCAAGACGAAGTATTGACAACAATAGCTTCAAATGAAAAATTTGTTAGAAAGACACGTCTTGATAAATGAACTTTAGTGTTTTTCCATAAGTGTTTTGAATTGTATATATACATATGTATAGATAGTGTATTTTGAGTTGTTTTTCTTGTATTAACAGTCTCTTCTTGAAAATGATGTTTCCTAATGGTGTTATAATTAATACATTTATTTTAACATTGATGAAATATATCTACAGAAAGAATAACCAAATGCAGAAGATTTTTCTGTTAGAAAAAATTCGCTTAAGCGTCAAAAAGCTTAAAAATGACTTTCCGAATTTTTTTCCGAATTAAGCAGATATTTTGTCCGAATTTTTCCGAATTCCAGCAAAAGAATTCCGATTTGTAAGATTTCGATCTGGCAACCCTGGCTGCTAGTGTCTGTTTTCGAGTCTATGGGTTTTTTTAATTCAAATTGAATTTTGAAAAAAAAATAACAGCCCATTTTTACCAAGACAGAGGAACTAAGGGGACTAAGGGGACTAAGGTGACTAACTAAGATGACTAACTAAGGGG